AACAGGGGTGGAGGCCTCCGGGTTCAACTGTCCCCCTCTTACACTGCTGTGATTGCTAGTATCACTCAGCCCTCTGTGAACAGTAAACAGCCATCAGTGTGCTAATGATCCAATGTTAGGCTGATGGTCCTTCTTGAGCATGTGATCAGCTGGTTTTGGTTGTCAGCAGCAAAACTGGTTGATCCACTCTGAGACGGTGCTATTTAAGAGACTGAGCTGAATACAGCTCCTCAGACTGAGGAAGTTTCTCGGATGAGAGACGAAACGTTTCTACATTTTTTTGTTGATTTGCTTTGTTTTTTTTGTTTTTGTTTTTTTTTTTGAATGTCCAGAGGACCAGATTTAACTTTTTTAGATAACTTTACCGCAGTTTAATGTGGCGCTATGGCTCTGCAGACATTGCACGTTGCTGCATTGCTTTGTGGTGTTTTTAGTGTAAAATACTTCCACACAGCGGACATGTTTAGATGAAAAGTTTGTTAGCTGTTAGCCACAGTCCTGCTAACTCAGTCCTCATGTTGTAGCTGGCCGCAAACTATGAACTGGATTTCCTGAATTTGAGGCGGGTCTTATTACTCTGGGTTCATGAGACACGCCGCCGTTCAGGAAATCCATGCCATAGTTTTGAAGCCAACATGCATCATGGATCGGAAATATCGGCAGGAGGATCGGAAAATCCGATACGTAAATTATGCTGGTATCGGAGACCGATACCGATACTGGATCGGATTGTAGTGTGTCAAGGTCCGCTTTGCTGTACCTTCACTACAATATATTTTAAATAACGGGTTCTCCCTTTTTCGAGCTAATTACAGCCATGTGACATAAGTAACTGTGCGTAGATGGTTTAATCAGTGATGCCGAGACGTTAATTTTCTTTGACCCATCAAAATAAATGTGGTCATTTATTGAACAGAATCAAAATTTAACATCAAAACATTGTACACTTGATTAGTTGATCTGGTTCTGATTAATAAAACTTGGCACGTTTTACTTAATAAAAACAACAGACATTTCTGAAGACCTCTAGATTAATTACTGGAGAAGTAGAAGAGTTTTAAAGATGGGAAATATGAGGAGTTTAAATGGAGAGGTTTCAATTCAATTCAAATTCAATTCAAAAATACTTTATTAATCCCAAAGGGAAATTATTTTGTTGTTATAACTCGTTATCCTCATTTCATTAAGAGATGTTATAGATACTGATGGCTGTAGACAGGAAGGATCTCTTGTAAAGGTCCATCCCACAGTGGATCCTAAGAAACTGGCTGCAGATGCCGTCCAATCCATCCACCCAGACTCGGCTGACCTCTCAGTTCCGCTGGACTGTAGGACCGCTTGAATGCTGGGCTGAACTCCTCCCAGAGCGATGGCCACTCCTCCCAGCAGTCTGCCGAGCTCCTCATAGCTGTGGACAGCCAATTGTAGGTGCCGAGGGACGATCCTGTCCTTCCGCTGTCGTGAGCCATGTTTCCTGCTAGTTCCAGGACCTCAGTGGTCAGGCACTCGAGCACAGCTGGCTGGTAGATGAGAATGCGTCCATATAACATCATTTTCAACTCATTTGAGAGTTGGGGCTGTAGTTGAGATATTAGTTGAGCTTTTGAGATGTTAATCAGCTGCTGTTGTTGTAGAAAACAGCCTTGTTGCCATGGTTACGCATCATAACAAATGTCCAAAACTTAAAAAGTTTCAGTAAAAATCCTTCCAGCTGCACAGCATCTGATACCAGAGGAAACAATCATCCAAAAAATATGATTTACATCCAGAAAACCAGGAATTAAAGTTTCCAAAAGCAAAATCTCAGAATGAAAGTAACAGAGCTGCTCCAACATGCAGCCACCTTGAGCGGCGCAATTCTAGAATCTAGAATCTTTGAAGGAAGCTGTATAAAGGGAGTGTCTGTTCGGACCAGGATGGCACGCTCCTTTCAATACCAGCTCACCTCTGGTACACTTGGTGCGTCACGACGAACAGGTGTCCATTTCAACGCGACCTTTCAGCGTCTCCGGTAAGGATAGCGGGTCACCGTCAAAAGTCGTGTCACTTATCCGTTCAACAAACAGGCTCAGCTCCCTTCGAAGTTGTAGGGCATTTATGCCCGGGTGGGTTCACAGCAAGCATCTGTGAGTCCGTTCAGAGTTTCCACTCAGAAGTGAAGACTCCATGAAGACTGAGTTCAACTCAAGACTGAGAACTCAAGACTGAGAACTGCAGAACTGCCACACTGACTCCAGAACTCAAGAACTCAATAGTTCCAGGAAGTGTCGACTTTTAAAGAGTTCTCACTCCTGGTCACTTTTAGTACTTCCTGATTGGTTGAAGCAACCAAAAGGGGGTGGTTCTAGTGATGTCAGAGGGTCATTACAAGTCAAGAAAACAGCAGGAATGTTTTAGGAACAGACAGAGAAATGTTTTGGCTAAGTGAGAGGAAGAGAGGCCAGTAGCCTCTTGTTTACCGTCTGCTAGGTTTAAAAACACGACACTTCGTTCCAATAACTTCTCTTCTGACTTTCGACCGACATCACTACTTCTCATTTCAGACAGAAGATTAAAAAATGCATAATTAATTTGTAAAATAGACATTTAACTTGATTTCTAATTTAAATGAGGATTAAAAAATCATTAATACTGTTTCACAGTTGATTTAAAATGAGTGGTTCACTTCAACATTTAGAAATGGTATGAACTAAACACACTTTTGATTTATCAAGATATTGTAAAATAGTGATGATATAATAAAAGAAGAGTGTTCTTTCAATTGATTACTTCAGGATACAATTAGACAGTCTCTGGATGAGCTAATTTGTATTTCTGGATTCAAATCAATGAAATAACAGTTCCTGTCCCATGAAGGTCCTCAGAGGCAGGTTTAGGTCGGAGGCCGAGTCCACTACAGTATCGACCCCATCCCTAATATAAAAAAAAATATATATATATATATATATATATATATATATATACACATATGCATATACATAAACACACATATACATATATATATATACATATACACATATACATATACATATATATATATATATACATATACACATATACATATATATATATATATACATATACACATATACACATATACATATATATATATATACATATACACATATACATATATATATATATATATATACACATATACACACACACACACATTTATATATATATATATATACACACACACATTTATATATATATATACACACACACATTTATATATATATACACACACACACACACATTTATATATACACACACACACACACACACATATTTTTATATATACATATATATATATATATATATATATATATTTTTTTTTAATATATATATATATATATATATATATATTAGGAAAGGCAGACTGATGGGTGAGTAAGTATTAGTTCAACAAAACCAAATTATAAGTTTGTACTGACGTGGGTTGCAGCCGGGAGCAGGCAACACTGATGACAGGCACAATCGCACACAGGATTCTCTCCTCCGTCAGAGGACTACAAGGGGCAGATAGACCCTCATCTGCAAAACATCAAGTACATGACGACTTACCTTGTGTTTATTATTTAACAAATATTGTAAAATGTGAATTAAAAAAACAAGTGTCAAAATGGACAGTCAGTTGTCTTTAACATCTGTACAGCAGGTTGCAATGTGTTCACCTGCTTGGCAGTACACAACATTGTAACAACTTTGAAGATGTATAAATGTTTATTGGATGTGCTGCTCACTCTGCAGTGCAGCCTGCACTGCCAGAGACAGCAGGCGCGGGATGATGACATTATGGAAACATAGCCCCGCCTCCTCAGTGTCCAGAACCTGTTCTGCTATCCTCTGCAGACTGCGGCATGACAGCACCACTTCATCCACAGAGAAATGAGCACTACCTGAAAACAAGACGCCCCTGGGTCAGTGTGTACTTCTGCATTTGGACTCTTTTCATCAATATGGAAACAAAAAATGACAAAATGCAGTATTAACTTTGTCAGGCATGCAGTGGTGTGGTAACACTGCCATGAAAATACACCAGTAACAGGAAACAAAGCAGAAGTATACATATAATGTTTACACACCATGTAAACTATATCTGTTATACAATCTGTGGTTTGTGGTTGTTAGAAAAATTACATTTCCTGCAAAAATGCAGGGTGCACGCTTATTGCTAAAGGATTTTTGCCGGAAGTAAAGAAGCTAAAGAAGATGAAACCAAGCTGAAAAAGGTTTATTCTCTAAACTGTTATTGCAAATTGAATTCAAACAACTGACATTTGTTGAAAGCAGTAAAATAAAACCAGAAAAAAAAAACTGCCACAACTTTAAAATAAAAAGCTAAGTAGAGTAGAAATGTGGCTGAAATTAACATAAGCTGAAATAAGCAGAGACACTGAACAGAACAAAACTAAATGAAACTAAAGGAGCAGAAAAAACTCAAAGGTCAAAAAAAAGCTGCAATTAACCAGAAAAGGAAAATAACAGAAGAATATCTGACTTGTGGCCTTGACATTTAACCCCATGAATCAATAGCAATCATTCTGGACCCATGTGGTGTCAATTTGTGCAATTTGGCATTTCTATGGAAAACTTTATGACTAAAGAAAATGGGGGAAATTTGACCTTGACATTTGACCCCGTGGCTTAGAAATCAATACAAATCATTGTTAACTGATGAGGGGTCCATGCTGTGAAGTTAGACAATTCTATGTTAAAGGGTTATCAACTCTTTAAACTACAGGATGACCTTTGACCCCATGGCCTTGAAATAAATAAGGATCATCATTGACACATAAAGTGTCAAGCTGTGCAGTTTGACATTTCTGTTACAGGACAACAAATTTAGAGCTATTTAATTGTCCACAGACTGACTAATAACTTATGTTAAAGTCAATGGTCATTTTGAACTTTTAGGGTGCATTCACACCAGCCCTGTTTAGTCCGCTTTAATCGAACTCTAGCTCGTTTTCCTAGAAAGTCCGGTTCGTTTGGGGAGGTGTGAACGCGCCATGGAACTATGTCACGGAACAAAAAGGCGAACTCTGGCCCGTGCTAAAACCTAGGTCTCGTTCCGGTAGAAGAGAACTCCAGCGCGGTTCGAGTACAGTGTGAATGTAAACAGACCAAGCCCCGCTCCGCAGGGTAAACAAACACGCATTTCTCTTAGCTTATATGGAGCCGTCAGCTGCCTTGTGTGAAAAACAATATTCTCCAGGGTCTTCTGTCTCATCTTCTGCTCATGCTAAGTCCATTTTTGAAAAATGACAAAATATAACTCCTAAAACTGCTAAAACTTGATGCCACTTCGTTTTTATTTTTATTTACAGAAGAAGAAGAAGACGTGTCTTCAGAGGTTTTTGTGTCGTTTCTTTCAGTAGTTTTTGGTGCAGCGCCCCCACAGGCGAGCGGGGGAATAGGTTGGTTCAACAGGTTGACTCAACTGCACAGTGCAGTGTGAATGGAAACGCACCAGCTCAAATGTAAACAAAAGGTCATGAATATTGGTCCCGAACCGAACCGAGTCTTCCGGACTATCTGGTGTGAAAACGACCTTAATTAGCCTTTGTCATATGTTGGGATCACTAAAATTACTATTACACCAATTTCTTGCTTAAGAGGTCTAATGCCCCTTTTCCATTAGTACCGGTACGGGCCGACTCGACCCTACTTGGCCCGGTTCTGAGGCTTTTCCATTAGTACCGGTACTTAGCACCTGTTACTATTTTCAGTACCCATGGCTCTGTGGTTCTAACCGGTATGAAGAGGTACAAAAACGTGACGTCAGTACACTGTCGGTCACTGATTGGTCGGGGGCGGAGTCACTGGATCCTTCAGAAAGTTTCAAAACAATAATCCGCCATTTGCAATTTCTCGGACTGGAGCAGCCTGGACTTATTTTAAAGATTTTAAAAACAATACTGACAACATCTTGGTCTAATGCTGATGTGCTGGCATTTTTTGTGCTTGGTGGCCGACAACATAATTTAGAGCAAGCAGGATGGAGCTCTGCTGGTGTACCCTGATCCTCCCTCCGGAGCCTCCGAGCGCCAGGCCGGGCAGGGCGTCATCTCCCCGGCTCCTAGTTCAGCTGGTCACCGCAGAAGATCCTTCGATGTGCCGACTCGGAGGCTCGGGTTCCAGATACCAGCCTTGTGTGCTCAGAGCTCCGCAGGTCACTGCGAAGCTGGAGATGGGGACTCACAGATGGACGTTGCCAGACCCCGGCCGGGCGTAATCATGAAGGCTGAATCCCGATCCCGCCCGGCAGTCAGGCGGACTGGACAGTCTGGGACGGACGCTGGAAGCGATTTTTAAATAAAATAATATTTTGTTTTTATACAAAAAATGTTTTAAAAAAATGCTGAAGTGATTTAAAAATGATTATTATTTTTTTACACGTAAAATGTTTTTTTAAATCGCTTCCACCGTTCGTCGCAGACCCGTCTCTGCCCGCCTGTCTGCGCGGGTCGGACCTTCATGATTACGCGCGGCTGGGGTCTTGGAACGGCCTCTGTGAGTCACCAGCTGAGCTGGAGCTGGGAAGATGAGCCTCCCAGCCTCTTCTTCTCCGGAGGAGAGGATCGTGTGACTGCGGGCAGTGTCGTGCGAGACCAGCAGAGCATTGAAGATTAAAAATAAAATAAACGGTGCCAGCTTCATCATGAAATCCTGTTTTCACTTTAATGACTGTTAACTCAGCTGAAAATCAAAAAAAGACACAAAACGTTGGTTACGTACTGTAACCCCAGATTCTATGAATATAGGCGTAGCCCTTTAAGGCTGTCGCTGATGGGTTTATCCCGTTATGCAGAGCATAAGCACTGAAAAAATTTAGTCCACACCCACCTGCTGTGTGGGCCCCACCCGGTCCGTATAAATTACGTTAAGAGCGGGAAATCGGCTCCCAAAATAGCTTTTTCTTCAGCCATTTAGGAGCCAGTGAGGCCCGACGCTTAAAGGGCTACGCCTATATTCATAGAATCTGGGGTTACAGTACGTAACCAACGTTCTATTTCATATAGGCTTCGCCCTTTAAGGCTGTCGCTGATGGGTTAAGGGCGAAGCGGATGTGGTCCTCGCCTCACTGGGTCCATTCGAACACAGTAAGAAGCGGAAGCTTGCCCAAAAAACGTCTCGTCACTCAGCTCCCCGTGTGCATAACTACGCATCGCGTAATTATGTGCCATGCACAGACGCATGTTGTGTAACTATGCGTTCTGACAAAGCATGAACGCCCCGGAAAACTTTCAACGGGAAGAAGAAGTTGAAAAGGGGGGGGGGGGGGGCATGAACCAACTGGTTCATGGCTGAACAGTATAAACAGATTAATGTCCATGAATTGATTATTGATCAAATGAACTGATTGGTAACAATAATCATGAACTGATTAGTGACAATAGAACCAAAATCACAGACACGACTTGTGACTGATAACATCTCACACTGTAATGCATGCAGACAGAAGTGAGCTTAAACAGAGTTCTATGAGAACAATAATATTCATTCTGTTAGAGCACTAAGGACAGAATGTGTCATGGAACGAGCCGTTACATCACGTAGGTAAAAGCGAATAAATGAGCAGGGTGTTGACCATGCAGCCGCAGTGCAAATGTCCTGCATTGACATACCATTATGCAGAGCAGTCCAAGATGCGATACCCCTGGTCGAGTGTGCTTAGAGGTTGACAAGAGGCTCTAAATCTGATGCTCTGTAGGCTTCAGAAAAAAACCTCACACAGCCAGTGTGACAAGCGCTGGATGGATAACGGGCGACCTGCAGAAGCATCTCTATAATGCACAAACAATTGTTGAGTTTGAAACGCATTGCAGCTGTGCGCGCTATGTAACACGTCAACGCCCGCACCGGGCAGAGAAGATGAAAAGATGCTTCCTCTTCTGATCTGTGGGGGGGGGGGGAGAAACCCCTCCAACGATATCACTCTTGATTTAAAAGAGCTCGTGATGTTTTAGGCATAAAAGCTGGGTTGGTCTTAAATCAGCTGAGCAGCCCGTCAGCCTAAGTTCTAAGGCATGACGAAGCAACAGAGAGGGCAGATAATTACTTACCCTCTTAGCGGGTGTTAAAGCCAGCAGCAGGGCTGTTTTAAGAGACAAGAATTTAAGTGAAAACCTGATCCAGAGGCTCAATTGGAGCTTTGATCAGGGCTCGCAGGACACGTGAAGCAGGCCGGCGTCTCAGAACATCTTTTAGAAAAATGCTTCATCAGAGGGTGATTAAAAGCTGTTCTGTCTCCGAAACCTTCGTGGCAGGAAGAGATGACTGCAACGTACGTTAAAGCGTACTGAATGCCAACTCCCTATCCATCAGCTGTTGTAGAAAAACAACACGCCGCCTAAAAGGCATGAGGTGGCCTCTAAACCTTCTCTGTACACCAGCGCTGAAAAGCCGTCCCCTTTGATGTGTACAGAACTGTGGTAGATGCAGCACGTGAATCTTGAATTGTGCACACTGAATCCTGAGGGAGACCCATCCTCTAAGTGGGACCGCTCAGCGGTCAGACCCACAGATGCTGACCTATTTCTGGGTAACTCTTGGTCGCTCCTCATGCCTGAAGGAGAGCATCCTCCCTCGACGGCAGTTCCACGGCGACCCGACAACAGACGGTGCAGGCCTGGGCACCATGGTGCGTTCACACGCTCGGGAGCCACCAGGAGAGCTGTCAATCCCTCCTCCTGAACTCGGTTCAGGAACCGTAAAAAACAGAGGAGGCTGGGGAAAAAACGCGTACAAAAGCGTTTTGGACCATGGGCTGTAAGCAAATGCGTCCCCCCCCAGCGATGGCTCGTCTCGCGGGCTCAGGGGAAAACCATAGTTGACACAGAGCGTTCTCTCGCGTCGCAAACAGGTCCACAGCTGCTTTGCCAACTTCTGCTAC